ACGAGTCCCAACTATATGGTTCATTAGAATTTCGCATGAGAAAAGATTGATCAGGATTTTTTTGAAGAGTAGTGATAGGAGGAGGAGGAGGTAAAGGATCATCTGGAGCTTCATCACCAGAGCCAATACCAGCACCAAAAGGTATAGCATCATCATCAGTTTTAATCTAATAAACACAGAATTAACCATAAAGATCATAAAGATCTATAAAGATGGAAACTTAAGTAACTTTAAAAAAAAAACATATTTTACCAAACGGCCATCTTCACCAATATTATCAAGACTCCAAGTAGTCTCTCCAGTCGCATCATTAAAATAGTAAACTTTTCCTCGGGGGGAATTTTTTTTACCCCAACCAGGTGGAAGCTATAAATGTAAAAATAACAAAATGAAAAAAAAAACGTAAACGAAAGAACAAAAAAAAGAATGAAACGATGGTATACCTTTTCAGCTTCGTCGTCATCAGTTTTAATCTAAAAAGGATATAAGTAATGAATCTAATGATAAATAATGATAAAAATGGAAACTTCAATAAACCAAAACAATATCTTACCAAAAGACCATCTTCGCCAATATTATCAAGACTCCAAGTAGTCTCTTCGGTCGTTTTATTAAAATAATAAACTTTTCCTTGGGGTGTAGTTTTCTTACCCCAACCAGGTGGAAGCTAAAAGAATTAGCATAGTTGAAAAAAATATAAAAGCTTAACTGAAAAAACATAATCAAAAGAATATAAAATAATAAAAAAAAAAATATACACCTTTTCGTCAGTAGAAAGTTGATGCTTTTGTTGAACAGTACTAGCAGTGCTAGTACTTAATCCACTATCCTTTGAACTAGTGACACTTTCCTTATCAGCATCCACCAAAGATTCATCAACAACTTCACCTTCTACACACTCCGAAGTAACAACAATGTCATTATCATCAACGGAATCAGAATTTCCAGGAGTGAATTCATCACCAGGGTAAGTCCATCTAATCTCTTGAGTTACTGTATTAAAATAATAGTATGTGTTACCATCTTCGGTAGGTTGTTGTATCCAATTTTCTGGTAGTGGCTTCTGTCTTATAAAAGAACCCATGGTAGATTGTGTAGAGACACCGGATCCAGTGTAATTACTACTGCCACGTTGTGTAGAACTATCATCCATATGCTTATCTTCTCTGGGTAATTCCCAAGAAGATTCACCCGTTCGGGTATTATAATAAAATATATCACCGTCCGGAGTTTGTTGAGGAATCCAATCGGCTAACTAATAAGTGATAATGAAATAATTGGTCAGAACGAGTTTAAAATCAACACGCTCTCATGGACCAAGATCGATCGGTAAGAATTAAAGATTCGTAAAATTATTAAGAAATAAAAATATTAAAATTATTAAGAAATAAAAATGAATTAAATCATTAAGAAACAAATTATTAAAAAAAAAGAGATAAAATGAGATGAAATAAAAACGATACATTTAAGTTTATAATTATTTTAATTAATAATTAATAATAAAATGGGGACATCACATCAGGCCAAAAACCCAAGAACAATCAGAATCAAACACTCATGAACCGTGGCAATTACAATAATTTATAACCAATACCTTATCTTCATCCGATATATCATCCTCGTCATCTAAATTTGTAACATAATTACTAGGAAACCAGCCACGCTCACCGTTGCATAGACCGTCCCACCAACCAGATTCTAGCTGCGTAAGAACTTGTATTATATCATTTTTTTTAAAGGAAAGACTCGAAGTATCTGTAGAAGTAAAGTCGTATAATGCTTTTACAAATAGGATCGATGAGGACATTTTTTTTTTTAATTTACAAATGTAGACTTATTTTTTTCTTTTTAGAATAAGGCAGCGAGATTACGGGAGGAGGGATAAGTTGCAGGCAACCAAAAATTAAATATTAAACGACTTTTTTACAAATAAATTCGTAGCAAAGAAGGTAGACATGAAAAAAAGATAGAGTAAGTTAAATTATTAAGAAAATTTTTAAAAATGAAGGCTTTTAGGGGGAAGTATTACAATGTAGTTAAAGAAAGAAGAAAAAGAAAAAAGAAGGACTGACTGACTGAACTTCTGGAGCAGATTATAGTTATATATTTCACCAATTTTATATATAATAATTAGTTTAAAAGTTGTACAAAAAAGTCGCAAGTGACACAATAAGAAGTACATAGCTGATATATACGTAAATACGATACATACGGTACTTAGGTATATAGGTACGTAGGTAGATATTTTATATGCAAATCAATGAGTATAGCGATATTATTTATTTCCATAATGGATTTTCAAATTGCAGTTTTTCTTTTCGAACGGGTACCGGTACATAATAATTTAAAAAACATAATATGATAATTAACTATTATATATATTTTATTTACATTAACGTTAACGCTATACGTACTTACACATTAATATTTATATTTATACTAATATTTACTTACACTAATCTTACACAAGAGAGACAAGACGCACAACCACCATAAACGAACAAGGAAAAATCCACGTTGTATATAAACATAGTACGTAGTAGGTAGGTACAGGCAATATTAAGGAATGATCTCAAAGATAATCCGAATGGAACGAAGATGAGAAATCATTCAGGCGCGAAAGGCCAAAGAAGAAAAAAAAAAGGTAGATCAATTATAAAGCCGGGCCGCACCGAAAGGGTTGGTGAATTGATCCAATGCAGATCACATAGATCTGAATTGATAACGTACGTACGTGAGGTCAGTGCTTCATTAAACAACGAATTTACATTATGGACCAACCAGTAAATGGTGAATATTGATGATATTGACAGCTATATACTATAGGAATACTATGGAAAATACTGTAGTAATACGTACTATAGAAATACTATAGCTGATAGTGATAAATGCTAATAATACATCAATTAGAAGAGCATGTCTGGACAAAGTTTTATTTACGTAACATAGTGCGACTTGAGTGTTACATTTCGTTATAAAATTAATCATAGAGAAAAGTGGGATTGCCGAGACGTATGACAAACTAGGTTAGATCAACCTCGTTACCTAAGTGTGCATACATGCAGTTAGATGAACGGTCGAAAATACCGTACGTACGTACGTACGTACGTAAGCTTACTTAAAAATACACAAGCATTGATGTTATTTTATTTTATTTTATTTTTTTTTTTTGAAAGAGAGAAAAACCCGCGAAACTTTAACCAGATTGGTTTGTTACCTTTTTATGGGAAGTGTCACCTAATCTTCATGATCGAACTACTATGTTTAAATCCAACGGGGGAAATTGATTTACAACATGTAAATATACGATTGGACGACAATAACGCCTTATTCAACGATCGTTTCACATTTTAATGTTAAGACTATCCTGGGATAACTATCTGATGACTATCTTGAGATGACTAAGACTACTTCGGTTGTCCATTCTCTTAGTCATGCATTTAGTCTAATTATCAAAGTTATTATTGTTTGAACTTTCACTACATCGTTATTTCCGATTACTTATTATTGTTGCCAATTTTTAGCAAGTTTATGAATAAATATTTATGATATGTTAATGAACTAATCTTGTATTGTACCATATTTTGTCAAGTTATTGTAGAATATGGTTAAATGATTTTTATTGTCTGACCGCGTGCAAGAGTTAAATCGCACGTCCACATGACTATCTTTTTGGCGTCCAATCAATTCCTCGATTATAATGTATGAACATCTTGGAGCTATTATCCGAAATCGAGTTATATATATATCGATATGCTTTACTGATTTTTCTTATTTTTCTGATTTTTAGATTTTTACTGTTATTTATTTTTTTTTTACTATATTAGATATTCTTACCGTTTTTACGTACGTACAGTTATTTTTTTTTTTTTTTTACCATTCTTACTATTTTTGATTTAATTACAATACTATCGAAAATTTTTTTTCCATTTCATAAAGCCACAAAAGGTTACTACAAATGATCATATACCCATACTTGGTCTAGTAATTAACCGTTTCATCCGGGCTAAAGAATTTATCCTAACACGATCCAGATCCCAATTTAATTATACAATCCCTTAGATTGTCTATTAATAGAGGACAAGAAACCTTGCTATCGAGCTAATTGTTGACTTGTGTGAATTACCAAGCTCATCTTTCTTTTATTATTGACGAAATCGATAGTAATGATACTTCTTTGAACTTTCTATGAACATTGGTTAACTCTCGAATTTTCATTCATCTCTCCATTTAAGGCGTACATATAATATAATGCCTACATGGTTATATTTCATTGATTTAGTGAATAAATAAACTCATTGTCTAAATGTTAAAATTAAATTGACGTGATCCAGGGGATGCCGTACAAATATGTTACAAATAAAATAAATCAAATTTTCAATTCTTACTGTTGGTTACCTTGTAACCTTCCTAACGTTATATTATTATTCGTACGTATATATTAAATTATTATTACTATAATTTACTTTTTTGTCATTTAACATTTATACGTACGTATTTAATTTTATTACATTTATAGGTTTATAGGTTATGCTGGCGCCAGACAATTATTTTCTAAATTATTTTCTAAACAATTCGTTTCTTATGTCTATAATTTTCTTCTATAGTTGGTTAATTTCACTAAATCTTTGATACTGGATCAATTATTTTATATTTTGTTCTTACTTTTACAAGACGTGTCATACTTTTTTGGAATAATGTTGATTTTATGATGTGTTAAATTTGCTATTGTTTGGTTACCATTACTTTGCTCGGTTCCAATTTTCGAAAACAATTTACAAATTTGTCAATGTTTTTCTTGACAAGTATCTTGATTGTTACTATTTACCTATTGCTTGAATTTAGTGAATTATTTTAAATATACAGTATAATTATCTCGGTAAAAAAAGAAAAATTTTTAATTCAAGTTTAATTAATAATTGCAAACCTTTTTTATAATGCTAAAGTCTTTTAGACTTCGTCTAGAATCAAGCGCCAAAAATCTTATTCTTGTGCAAAACTTTATTTCATTAGGCATATAATTTTAGTCATTGTATTTGATATTTTGTAAAAAAAGAAAAATTTGAGGCTTTATTATACCAATGGTGTTTTAACACCATATATAGTTGCTACGTAATATATATTTCCAAGTAATTATTAATTGATAATCTAAGCCAAAATACGCATTAAACCCTTTTCTAATCTTAATTATAATTTTAATATTTAATTTTTAACTTTTGATTTTATATTAACTTCTAACTTTAGTCTTAAATTTTAATAATAAATTGCTATAAAGATATTGTATATACCATTTATCGAATAAAAGTTACCAAAATGTTGAGAACTTTTTCTGGCCAAATTGAGGGTTATCTTCTATTCGGGTCTAATTTTACTATTAAGCATAATAATAATCTTCAAATTTTTGGGTCCAGAAGTAGCTTTTACTTGGCAATATATAGTAGTTTATTTGTTAAATCCAATTTTATCAAAAAGTATTTCTAAATATACACTAATACAGTATATACACTCCAATCCAATTTTTTAAAAAAAGAAAACCAAAATTTTAATTTAATTAAAATTAAATTAGATATTAAATCATCAAGATTTATATTTATTATAAACAAATAAAATCTTTGTTAAAAATAATCTTTTAAGATTATGTTAATTTTGTAAATACAATTAAATTTACTAACAAAAACAAAAAAACTCTTTCTACTATTCCTTTATATACAAATTTGCAAAAACAAATCATTAACAAAAATATATAAATACTAGTAGAAAACAAGATTTGCAACTCTAAGAAAAAAGAAAGAAGACCAAAAGTAATACCCAATCTCTTAAAAGACTAGAATAAGAAAAGTGAAAATAGCAGAGATATAGAGAAAAATGTAGAAAATTTTTAATAATTTTTGTTTTTCACAAGTTATTTGAGGAATTGGCCTTAACCTATTTTAGATAGCTATTCTACAAATTTTTTTTTACCTTTTATAATAACAACCAATTGAATTTCAGGATCAGGTGGAATGTAATAGTCAAAACAAATATATTTTGTTTTTTTAAGTAAAAAGTTATGTGTAAAATTAAAGTTAAGAAAATTGTATTATAGTTAGAATTAGGACTAGAATAATGTAATATTTACAAGTAAAATTTTATAAGAAGCATTTTTTATTAGATTACAAAAGGCAGTTTTCTAATTAAAATTTAGAGCTATTCTTGTTTTTTTGCTTTGGTTTAATTTTTATATTATGCTTGATTCTAAATTTGATTGGCTGTTATTACAAGAGGTGAAAAAATTTTGTGAAACAGCTAGAAGCTTTCTTTAACCTTATAATACAGATCAGTTTTTGTTATACAAGATATACAATATGTAATAAAGAGTAAACAAAAAAACATAACAAAAATTATATGACAAACAAAAACAAAGAAGATATATAAATACAATGATTAACTAGTCATATGCAGCAAAAAACAATAGAAGATTCTAAAAAAAAATTGATTATAATAGAATATGCAAAAATACGAATAAAAGTATTTTATAAGAAATTAAAACAATATAAAGCAGAAGAAATTAAATATAAAGAACTTGTATTTAAAAAAAGAAATAATACAAAATACCAACAAGCAATATACTATATTTTTGTGACATGTGTATCCTCCTGTGGGCTGTACTCTGCAGTGATTTTAGATGCCAAATCTTGATTTATATCTAGATATATAAGTAAGAGGATATTATACTTATATACCCGAATATTTAATAGTAAAACATATTGAATATATAGAAGTATTCATACAGTATATTCCTTCACACAAGTATCTAAATACATAATA